CGACTACTAGTACTAGTACGACTACTAGTACTACTACTACTACGACTACTACTACTACTACTACTACTACTACTACTACTAGTACTACTACTACTAGTACTACGACTACTAGTACTACTACTACTACTACTACTACTACTACTACTACTACTACTACTACGACTGCTACTACGACCACTACTACGACTACTTATACTACTACTACTACTACTACTACTACTACTACTACTACTACTACTGCTACCACTACTACTACTACTACTACTACTACTATTACTACTACTACTACTACTACTACTACTACTACTACTACTACTGCGACTACTACAACTGTTATTATTACTACTACTACTACTACTGCTGCTGCTGCTGCTGCTACTACTACTACTACTCCTACCTTACCACGACCTCAGATGGGTAGTCAAGCTTGGCACTTTGCGCTTTGATGTTCTAGCACCCTGCCGTCGTCGTCAACGACGACGAGCAAGCCACATCCAAAAATAGTTATTCGCCCGCTTGCATCGGGCAGGCACGACATCCAGCTTTGAACTGAAGGCCGATATGTTTGATACATTGGCAAACAACACAAATTGAAACTGCCGCCTCCGTCACCGTTTCGTCGCTTTCCGCATCGTCGTCGTATGTCGTCGTCGCGGGCAGCGGCGAATACGGCGGTTGTGGCGACGTTGGCGACCGCGACCGCGGCCACGGCGACGACGAGGGGAAGTCGTCAACGAAGTTGGCGGGGGAGACACAGAGCGAAACCCCACTGAAGGAAATTGCACCACTGACGACGACGGGGACGGATACTGCGACGGCGACGACGACAACGACGACGACGACAACGACGATGGCCGCGACGACAGCGGCGACCGATGCTGCGACGATGTCGACGAACGACTCGGGTCTTCCCGTGTCTTCGGTCTTACGGATGTAAATACGTCAATTGCGAACGCTCCGTTGCTTGGAGTGTCCTGCCAATCGCGGGAGGGGTTCAAGTCACTTGCTCTCTTGTCTTAGACAAGCCCGATGTGATAGCGTCATGTGTACTCCGTAATAAAAGGGAGGGGGTCTGGACCCTCCAAGACAAGCCATTTCAGACCTCCCCCGTGGGAGAACCCTCCAAAACATCGTCCCCAGAGCCCCCCAGGCCCTCCAAGATAGCCTGGAAGAGACCCCCCCCGAAATGAGACCCCCGTCCCTTTATTATGAAATCTGGAGTATGCACATGCACCGATCTTGGCCTGGCCCATCCTGGGCCCAGGATCGGTGCATGTGCCCTCCTGGCCAAAGCAGGATGGCGTATGCACCGATCCTGGGCTCAGGGTGGGCCTGGCCAGAATCGGTGTATGTGCACAGTTCTCTTTCCTCTGATAGGCCAGGGACGTGATTCTTAAAGCGCCCCAGGAAGCAGCCTCTGGTGGGGCAGTTGCCTTCCGTGGCATCTGGTTCGTGTTCCTCAGTTTCTTTCGCTTCCTGTGATTTCATCTACATGTCTTCATCCTCTGTCTCAGTCTGTTACCCCTCGTCGGCCTCACCGCTTCACTGCTTCGTTGGTCCAGCCGCCAACGTAGCATAGGCCGCCATATTTTTACAAGCGCGCCAACCACCGTTGTCCCAGATCCTGGGGTATTCAATGTCGCAGCAAGTCGTTGCAGACAGCGACGGCTGAGGATAACCAAGAACACATCCTGTAAAAGTATCCTGTAGCGGGGTGAGTAATAGGCCCCCCGTGGGCGGTAGAGCTGGGCGGGCAGATCATCGCAAGCGGGGGAGGATTACAGTAGAATCACCACCGCAAGGCGGCATGGACGACGGATGCAAGTACAGTCAAGATGCTGAAATTAATCAGGAGGGGCTTTGGTTTTCGTGCTGATCCGTAGATCTGAGTCGGGGAGCTTCTCCATGGCCGAGGCTCACCGTGGCCAGAACAGTTCCGTCGTTCCTCAGTCAGCCTTCCTTTGGTCGCAAGACGACTGTTGGGCACCGGGCAAGATGTTGCGTTGAACAGAGGGAGAAAGAGGGAGGAAGAGAGAGGGGGAAGGAGGGAGGAGGAGGAGGAGGAGGAGGAAGAGGAGGAGGAGGAGGAGGAGGAGGAGGAGGAAAAGGTGGAGGAGGAGGAGGAGTGGTGACTCGTGTTCGCAGGCAGTGGTGGGGCAGGCGACGTCGGCGAGGCAGCCAGGGGCACGGAGGCAGCAGGCAGGGTTGAGCAGAGATGCGGGCCCTGAGAGTCAAGGTGCTGAATGAAGAGCCGGTGTAAGATTTGCAAAAAAAACCTTTGCAACGAAGGATTGCAAAAAAACATCCGATTAAGAGCGTTTTTGTTGCAATCCTTCGATTCAGAGCGTTTTTTTTGCAATCCTTGGTTTTTTTGCAATCCTTCGGTTTTTTTGCAATCCTTCGTTCAAGGTTGTTTTGCAATCCTTCGTTCAAGGTGCTGAATGAAGAGCCGGTGTAAGGTCAGGAGCCCTGGTCTTCGGGCCGTTCCTTAGAGCTGCGTCGGGGAGCCCATGCTTGGCCGAGGCTCACCGCGGCCAGGAAAGTTACTCCTCCTCCTCCTCCTCCTCCTCCTCCGCCTCCTCCTCCTCCTCCTCCTCCTCCTCCTCCTCCTCTTCGTTCCTTCAGCAGCTTTCCTCATGGTAGCGCGATGCTGTACGGAAGGGGAGGTTGGCACCGAAGTCGCGGCGACTTTCGCCAACCACGCGCAAGCCGAACCGCCCGACGCGCCACCCACTGAAGTTGTAGACGCGACGGCGAGGCATGCGGATGAACGCAAGGCGAAAGAGGAAGACGAAACAACGGCGAAGGAAGAAGCAGGAGTTGAAGCGAGGGCGAAAGAGGAGGCGAATGCCAAGGCAAACGAGGAGGTCGAGGCGAGGGCGAGACTAGTGGAGATCGAGGCGAAGGCGAAGGAGAAAGAGGCTGAGGCGAAAACCAGCGAGGAGGAGGCACAAGCGAAGGCAAAGGAATATGCAGAAGCAACGGCGAGGCAGGGGGAGGCCGATCGCATGGAGGAGGCCGAGGCGAAGGCGAGGCAGGAGGACGCGGAACGCAAGGCCAAGGAGGAGGCCGAGGCGAAGGCGAGGCAGGAGGAGGCCGAGGCCAAGGCGAAGGAAGAGGCAGAAGCGAGAGCGAAGGAGGAGGCTGAGGCCAAGGCGAAGCAGGAGGAGGCCAAGGCGAAGGAGGAGGCCGAGCTCAAGGCAAAGGAGGAGGCCGAAGCCAAGGCGAAGGAGGAGGCCGAGCGGAAGGCAAAGGAGGAGGCCGAGGCGAAGGCGAGGCAGGAAGAGGCCGAGCGTAAGGCGAAGGAGGAGGCCGAGGCGAAAGCGAGGCAGGAGGAGGCCGACCGCAAGGCGAAGGAGGAGGCCGAGGCCAAGGCGAAGGAGGAGGCAAAGGAGGAGGCCGAGCGTAAGGCAAAGGAGGAGGCCGAGGCCAAGGCGAGGCAGGAGGAGGCCGACCGCAAGGCGAAGGAGGAGGCCGAGGCCAAGGCGAAGGAGGAGGCCGAGGCCAAGGCGGGGAGGAGGCCGAGGCCAAGGCGAAGGAGGAGGCCGAGGCCAAGGCGAAGCTAGAAGCAGAGACGAAGGCAAAGGAGGAGGCTGAGCTCAAGGCGAAACAGGAGGCCGAGGCCAAGGCGAAGGAAGAGGCAGAGGCGAAAGCGAAGGAGGAGGCCGAGCGTAAGGCAACGGAGGAGGCCGGGCGAAGGAGGAGGCAGAGCAAAGGCAAAGGAGGAGGCCGAGCGTCAGGCAAAGGAGAAGGCCGAGGCCAAGGCGAGGCAGGAGGAGGCCGACCGCAAGGCGAAGGAGGAGGCCGAGCGTAAGGCAAAGGAGGAGGCCGAGGCCAAGGCGAGGCAGGAGGAGGCCGACCGCAAGGCGAAGGAGGAGGCCGAGCTCAAGGTAAAGGAGGAGGCCGAAGCCAAGGCGAGGCAGGAGGAGGCCGACCGCAAGGCGAAGGAGGAGGCCGAGGCCAAGGCGAAGCTAGAAGCAGAGACGAAGGCAAAGGAGGAGGCTGAGCTCAAGGCGAAACAGGAGGCCGAGGCCAAGGCGAAGGAAGAGGCAGAGGCGAAGGCGAAGGAGGAGGCCGAGCGTAAGGCAACGGAGGAGGCCGAGGCGAAGGCGAAGGAGGAGGCCGAGGCAAAGGCAAAGGAGGAGGCCGAGCGTAAGGCAAAGGAGGAGGCCGAGGCCAAGGCGAGGCAGGAGGAGGCCGACCGCAAGGCGAAGGAGGAGGCCGAGCTCAAGGTAAAGGAGCAGGCCGAAGCCAAGGCGAGGCAGGAGGAGGCCGACCGCAAGGCGAAGGAGGAGGCCGAGGCCAAGGCGAAGCAAGAAGCAGAGACGAAGGCAAAGGAGGAGGCTGAGCTCAAGGCGAAACAGGAGGCCGAGGCCAAGGCGACGGAAGAGGCAGAGGCGAAGGCGAAGGAGGAGGCCGAGCGTAAGGCAACGGAGGAGGCCGAGGCGAAGGCGAAGGATGAGGCAGAGGCAAAGGCAAAGGAGGAGGCCGAGCGTAAGGCAAAGGAGGAGGCCGAGGCCAAGGCGAGGCAGGAGGAGGCCGACCGCAAGGCAAAGGAGGAGGCCGAGGCCAAGGCGAAGGAAGAAGCAGAGGCGAAGGCAAAGAAGGAGGCCGAGGCCAAGGCGAAGGAAGAGGCCGAGGCCAAGGCGAGGCAGGAGGAGGCCGAGCGTAAGGCGAAGGAGGAGGCCGAGGCCAAGGCGAAGGAAGAGGCCCAGGCAAAGCTAGAATCTGAGGCGAAGGCAAAGGAGGAGGCCGAGGCGAAGGCGAGGAAGGAGGAGGCCGAGGCCAAGGCGAAGGAGGAGGCACAAACTGATCCAGAGGAAGCCCAAGAACAGGTACAACGAGAAGACGCCGAGACCAGCTCCAGTGTAGTTCGCGATGCAGCGTCGCCCCACGACTTCATGCATGGCGCGTCGCTGGAGGCGGATCTGCTCGGGGACATCTCTGAGTCGCAGACGAAGGCTGCCGGGATACGTACAGCTCACCCAGGGCGCGATCGC